TTCCTTTATCTTTTCAATTAGAGCTTTCTATACAGTATTTGTCATCTGTCCCATACGTCTTACAAGCCACACAAACCTCATCTTTCTTGAGTATTAAACATTACGGGTTCATCGCATTCGGTATAGCGACTGGCTACGGACTGGACGACAAAGGGGTCGGAGTTAGAGTCCAGGTAGAGCTACCAATTTTCACTTATCCGTGTCGTCCAGACCGGCTCTGGAGTTCACCCAACATCAGTCACAATGGGCATCAGGAGATCTTTCCCGGGAGTAAAGCGGCCAGGGCGTGACGCTAACAAATCACATCCAACTAGTGCCGAGGTCAAGAAAATGTTGATCTATACATCCTCTCCCCCCATACGTCTTCAAAGCGTAGTGCTTAATTAGTTAAGGACAGGGACAACTTTACCTATTTTACTAATGAGTTACTCATCACTTGTCAATTCATGTACAAATTTCACAAGTACAGCAGCACTAGGCCCTGGGGTTTACTCAGCCTCTGACAGAAATGAGTACCAGGAATTAATTAAATAATTTTCCTGGGGAGTGAAGCGCGGCCGGCGCGTAAGGCTGACAACCTTACCGCCATCTTTGAGTCGATTGTCTAGATAATGTGGGACCCTCAATGTCTCACAACCCTATGGGTCTTCATGGCCTGTTACAGGGGTAGCTTTACTTTTTTTTACACTTACAAGGACTAGTTATCAGACAAAATATTTTTAGCAATCGCCATGTTCTTGGTTTACATTACCGTCACTAACTAACACCATGGGCCAGAGTCCTTCCTGAATCACTCACATTGTCAAGAAATTACCCGATATAATACTTTCATAAAATAATATCTTAACAATTTATAGAATTTTTCAAAGACCCGTAAGTGTTGCCATTTGTCGGGGATTCCGTAAACAATAACGGCTTTTGGATTGGATGATTGGATTTATTGACTCCATCTTTACAATCTCTCTTATTCACAATCGGTTATAGCGCTATCGCTGATCTACCCACTTCACAAATCACTAGGACACGCTCTATTCTCGGTCTCGGTCTCGGTCTCGGTCTCCTTTGTACTACGTTGTTCTTTGACTGACTCTGATTTACGACTGGACAGTTTATATAGTCTCGAGGCGGATCCATAGAAAATACATCCGTTGCCCCCCAATGGATATCTGTGAACCACATAGAAAACATCGCTTCCTCTCTTATTGTATTCGTTGCCGCGGATGTGTTTACTGAGTTGTTACCTACCAATGGATTGTTGATCAAGAATTTGTCTTCGCGGGAAGGTGTTAACGGGTCGTTGCCTAGCAATGAGTGACAGAAAAACACGCAGACTCTCTGGATAAATACAAGAATAGCTTCTCTCTCTCTCACAAGTTTACATGGATGATATGTTGGCGTGTTTTCTAAATTAAAATGTGACAAAATTGAGACCTGTAATATAAAGCTGTTAAGTACTGGGTTTCAAAAATCGGCCTTTAGTCGTATAGCGATTAGGTTGCGAGATGGACAGTTTAGAGTTCAGTCCCCGAAGGGAGAAAAAATTTTTAACTTCTGCAGTGTGTTCAGACCGGCTGTGAAGCCTACCTAGCAATATACTGAACGGGAATTGTGGTTCTCCTTTTCCGGAGCTTAGTTGCAGACACTAAGAATTCGTGAAGTTAAACCTCACTCTCTCACACGTTTTATTGCGAGATGTTTATTTAAGTGAAGGACAGACATGCTCAGATCTCCCACATGATTCCGAAAAGGAAACTTGTTCCTTGGGAACAATAATACATCTATGTAACCCTAAACAGTGTTTCTTATAGGAATATTCCATCGACACCCACGACACCCCTACAAACATTTGAAAACAAAGTAATGCTCACGACGGCTCACTGGTTTATCAAGTGCACCTAAGCTCTGCGTCGGCATGTACTGTCTTCGCTCGCTTGGAAACCGGGATCGTGGGTTCAAATCCCAATCAGGGCATGGATGTTTAGTTTGTGTGTGTCCGCTTTTCTGTGTTTGTGTACAGGTAGAGGCCTTGCGACGAGCTGATCACCAGCCCAAGGAGTCCTACCGAAAGTGTAAGATCTAGAAAAACCGAAGTGAACGGAGAAGTTCATGGAGGTAGGCCTAAGCCCACTGGGGCTGTAGTGCCAAGGGAAAAAAAAAGCTCTGCGTTAGATGTGTGGAAAGTACATTATATTGAACATTTATAAATGTAATAATTTCAGATCATTGCATGTGAAGGTACGGGCTTAAGAACAAAAGCTTCTTATTGCAAACCAAGCATTGCAAAGGTTAAACGGAAGCCTGAAGGCATATTCCTATACATTCAGCGAGCATAAATGTCAGTGTAATCTATACTTCTAACGTAAGGAGGTCAGATTCTCGCTAGTGTACCGCGAACGCCAAAAAATAGAACTTTACCCAATGCCCGGGAGCTATTGTTCCCATTGTGAAGGTAACACAAACCGTTTGCCAGGAATGAGGTACCATTAACAAATCTGAAACTCTGGAAAGGGTTGCTACTGCTTGTGATCACTTAAAGCAATATTATCGAAATTCGCCAAAAATGAACATTTACTCATTCATACCCGTATTCAATATCACATAAAAATGTTCATAACCTCTCTTCAATTTAAAATAACATTAAAATTATTTCAATTGTTACATATTTCGGGTTTACTTGGCCATCTTCAGGTAATTGTTCACTTATTGAGACTGTGAAACTAAGGTGGATCATAAATCAATACATTCCAAACTAAAACTCCGTGGCCTGTGATCCGCAAGCGAAATATACCGACCGAAAGACCGTCGCTTGTCGGCGAAATTCCTGTCAACTTTTGTGGATAGAGGGTGTCACGTGATCAGTGCAACGTTTCCCCATGCCCGATAATCACGGTTTTCTAGACCGGAGCCGCTATTTCCTTGAAATAGCTCCTCAATTATCGTCATGAGACTGAGTGGACCCCGTTCCAGACCCACTACTTCTCAGAAAATCTTATAGCGCCGGGAATCGAACCAGAGATCTCTGGATCTGTAGTCTGGAACTCTGACCATTAGACCACAGACGCGGTCTCAATATATTCCATGCTTCTGCACATCGTTATTCACAGTAAAATGTGTTTCTTTGAGAACGAAACTTTCTGTTCGTTCCGCCTTATTTTCCTTTTGCCACGTCCATGTTTGTTCCCCCCTTTGTATGTGTGTTCTCACTAGTTTGGCTTAGGTTCCTTGAGATACATTAAAGACAGAGGTGAATGAGTGAGCGATCAATCAATGCAACAGGATGCTTATATATGTAAGTGCTGCAGTATTCAAACAGATTGATTTAATTTCACATGATTAGATGATTCGTGAGTAGCATCTTATGGGCAACTATAATAGTTTAGGTTCGAGTGGTTGTATTAAGCGGTGTCATAGCACTCTGGAACTCCATCATAATAAGTTACAGATAAACGAAGACGCGTTCATTCAGGTCAAACAATGACAATGTCATCATCAAAATACAAAACGTAACCAAAAATAGAGTCCCTCGGAGAAGCAAAGTAAACGAAGAAAGGAACATATACATACCGTAAAAAAAATATAATAAATTTATGAAGTCATGCCAGACTGATTTTATAGTTTTTTACTTTATCCCCTGTATCTCCCTGTTTTATGCGAGGAACCCTCTTTTCTCAGTACCCAAATAGAAAGAGAGGGTATGCATGGGGTGTTCAGAGGTGAGACGAGGGTATCTCCTCTTCCTTTTCTTTTTCACCCACTCACTGACAATGACGATGACTACGACCCCCGGATGGACCTAACATAGTTCAAGCGTTGTTGGTGCAGACGGCGTAGCAATCGCAATAAATGCGCGTGCGCGAGCACATAAGCGGGATAAACAAAACTTTGCCTTCTCTTTTTCCCTCCCATTTCCTCTCTCCACCCTCGTTCACTCTCCCTTCGCCCTCCCCCTTTTACTTTTCTATTTTATGCATATTTTTTCCCCCTTGCATGTGAGTTTCATGAGTAGAATAGTTATTAAGGTCCGACTGAGTGAAGACGCGTGTCACTAGGTATCGGGACTTCTAGCAGTTGTGAACAACTGGGAACTTCACCCCAACCCTCCCCTGCTCACTCTTCTGTTGTGTAGTGTCCGTAACAGACCCGCGAGCGGTATTTCGGCAGACGTAGGATCGGATAGAAATAATACACGCAAACACACAGCTATACGTACACTATTCAGAGTCGCATCTAGTGACTGATCGAAGCGAATTTTTATTACGCATTTCAAAATTATAAGAAGTTTCAAGTTAGCAAAATACAGAAATTTGAACGTATCCTTATTGCCGAATAAAAACACGCGGTTCCGACTAGAAATGCAGTCCCTATATTAAACACTGCCTTCGCTTCTTGGTCTTCATATCCCCCCCCCTCCCACTTTTTTTTTCATTCTAAAACTTTTCTCCCCCTCCTCCTTCCCTCACAGTGTAGTACTCCCTTTCCCCGCACCGCAGTACTCTCCACACATTTTGTACGGGGGAATCCCCTCTTCACACCGCTATGCTGGCAAACCCACTGCACGAGCTGCCCACCGACACACCGAAAACCCATCACATCGACGGCGGTTCGGGGGTCTTTAGAACCCGCCTTTCTCTCTCTCCAACATTCCCTCTTTATCTTTCTATAGTTAGATATAGCAAAACTATATCCCGTCTCCTTCCAACCATCTCTCTCTCTTACTCCCTTCCCTTTCCTGTCTCTTCCCTCCCTCCCTCTCACTCACTCTCTCTCTTCACGTCTGCCCTCGGCTCAACGTGTCTCTCATTCACTCACATGGATACTACGAGTAAGAAGAGAGGGTTGAATCATACCTCCTCAGTCTTTTCTCGGTCTGTCATTGGTTGACAGCAACGTCACGTGACATCTTCCTCTTCCAACAAACGAACCAAAAAAATTATAACAGAAGGGGTAAAAAAACTGAACGAAACAACAAACCAGAAGTCCAACAACAACAAAATCCGACCACATACACGTACCAAACCAGGAAAGTAAAGGGAGGTAAAGGAAATTTGTGCGAAGAAGAATGAAGAAGGAATATTTGTAAGAGATGGGAAGAGTAAAGAAGTTCCTAAAAAAACGAAAGGAATGGTCAGATATTTCGCCTGCTATCAATTCTTTTCTACTTGCTCCTTCATGGTCGTGGTGAGTGGTTGTCAACGGCGACGTCATCCTTAAACGGCCGCCAAGACGCAGGAGGCAACGTGGCATTGAGTGGTGTGGCAGCGGCCTGTAACAAGTGACAGCACGTTCCGAGCCCAACACAGGCAGACCGTGAACAGTGCAAGGGGACTGCGGACTGCGGGACTCTAGTCGCCATTTTGTGTGTACGGGACTGTCATCAGGAGATGCATTGTTGTCTCCTGTACAGCAATGCAGACAGTGGCGTGTACTGTGATGAAATGAGGAAAACTTATTCGTAGTACGTAACTGTGGAAAGCGAGATCAATGGTTCTCTTGGTAACTCCAACTAAAATTGAATTCACCAATTGTCTCTGTCTCAGTGACTGTCTAGACTCATGGACACGCAAATCGGGCTCAACACACAGAAATTTGATTATACCAGTGTGAACTGAAAATGACAGATAAAAGATGCTGATTACATATTGTTCAGTCCGTTTGTGGGTAGAGTTGAAGTGTTATAGTTACTGTGATTACGTAGAACACGAGATGAAGAACAGTGTTGTTTGGTGATTCAGCCCAGTAGTGAGTTCTATTATGTGATTTATACTTAGTGTCGTCTCTCCGAATCATAAGGTATGTGAAAAACTTTCTGAAATTTGTTGTGTACTTGAACAGTAAGTTCAGCAACAAAGATGGACATTGACACTTTCCAGTCGAGAAGTCTGTCATATTGCAGTAACACTGGTGGAGCGAGTCAGCTCTAATTAATGAAGGAGGCAGCAAGAGTGTCATTTCCGGCGAGGAGGTAGAGTTGCCCGGATGCGCGGAAAGCAGCAACCTCGCGGCCAGCACATCGGCCCGGAAGACGACGATGATGACTTCGTTTCCGTAAAGACAAGGCCGCCAACCCCCGTACTGGCCGTTGATGGTTGCGGGGGTGGTGGTGGTGGTGGCGGTGGTGGCGGCGGTGGAGGTGGTTTCTGGTTGGCAGCCGTTACAGCTGCCGCCGCCGGTGGGCCTCCACATGGAGTACATCCAATGGATGGCTGTCTCACGAGCGCAGAGACAGGCTTCATCAACAGCCAGCCTTCAATGGCGGAGTTCATGACAGCTTTACCTCACCTGACGGGAGAATTGCAGCATCCGCCTCCACCGGGGTCGTTGAGTCCTCCGCAGGGAACCTACCAAGGGATGGTAGATTCGCACGGGCAGCCACCACCAGGACAACCACCACCGCCACCTGGAGTCAATGTTCCGGAGTATCCATGGATGAAGGAGAAGAAAACTACACGGAAAAGCAATCAGCAAGGTAAGATAAATGACTGGAGACCTTCCAGTCCTTGCCTAACACAAATAGAATTTTTTGCGAACAATCCCGTACGAGTTTGCTAACATTGACCCAAAATGTATGTGGTTAGATCTGAAATATTATTCCATGAATATTAATAAGTAGTTTAATATCAGGGATGAAAGTTCTAAGTAACCTGAAATATTGCAGTATTTTCACCGTTATTCCAAGCTAACGCGTAATTTCTCGTGGTTGCTGTTCATGCCGAGTATTACAGTACAAGCATTCTATAGGCAAGTGGCACATAAATTTATCACTGCAAATTGCTAAAGAATTCTGTAATGGTTTCTGAGAGAGAACCAAAAATTGCTTCCCATTTAACTACAAACCAACGTGACTTCTTAATCAGAGAAAGTTATATAGCATTCACTGTACTAACTGGTACAGAAAATTTTTACACACCTTACATGAATTAATGAACCCCATTCCTCTTTTTCACTTCTGAACTACAATTAATCACCGGGTGACCTAAATAACTGTTTGAGGAAGAGGTCAATGATGTTAATCATCGCAAACTTCCTTTGAACAGATTCTTGAGAAAATAGAGGAACAGAAAATCTTAATTATAATCGTACAGTTCAGTGTCTGTGATCTGACGTAATAATGATGCGGCTTGTTGCCATGATATGGAATTCCTTTTCCGAGTAAATTTCTAATGAGACTGTCTTTGCCCGTTCAGAAATATAATAAAACTATGGCACTTATAGTGTATATAATTATTTTACAAACAGATCTTCACTTACGATGGACTTCCATCCTCGAATTTCCTGTCAAATCTGAAAGAGAAATGCCAAGACGGCATATGACAGGTGGGATTTAGTTTGGAGCTCTGAAATATAGGAAGACGGATATGTCGGGTACTGAACTGCTGTAGCCAAGGAAATATATGCAGGGGCGATAACACTGGAGCAGAAGTAGCCGTGTTTCTTAACCTGCAGTTAAGTATAACAAACATGGATTCTCGGATTCCTAGACACAGGATGAATAAAGTTACGATACGTTTTAAATTTAAATCCGACATCTGTCGCGTATGAATGATATTTCGACAGAATACAAGCCGCTGGATTTTATTATTATTGTAGGTGGTGTAAATGTGTCTTAACTGATAAGCTGTCAAGCGTTAAAGAGAGAATGGGACGTATTTTAACAACTCCACGGTGCATTCAGATAGTTGAGAGTTTGCACCTTGCACTTTGAAACTTTTGCTGCAATTGCACCAAAGTTGTTTTGTGTAGGGGACATTCTCAGCGCTTAGAAGGTTGGTTCTGTTACCTCAGACTTCTTTAGGAATTACTCAGCTATCTCATTATGATACGGCAAAATGTTGTAAGCGGATGGCGAGGAGAATCATAATGAGGCTAGATCTTAAATGATTGCATGGAATAAAGCCAGGCCCATAATTTACATTTTATTGAGTTTTGTACCCAATTTGCAAGTTGTCACAATCATATAAGTCTTGTTATTACTGGGCATAAGCCCGCTGCTAGTAAAATTTTGTGTGTTTATTTTCATTGGACACATTTCAAATATTCCATTCTTCATCATTTCCTATACAAATGGGCTATTTCTATCTAATGCGTACATTACTCTTGTAGTCTTCTAAATTTGTGCCAGAACTTGGCCCTATAATTCATCTTATTATAGACCGCATTATGTGAGACGTGCGAATATATGACATAAAGAAATTGTAATTAAATTATTTTTATCATACATTCGAATTAAAAACTTAATTAAGGAAAAATAATGCACTTTTTTTTAAATATTTTGTTCGATGTCGTTGTGAGTGAACTTTAATTTACGTTTATGATAAGTTCAGTTAAGCTGAACGTGGCTATGCCTGTGTGATCCATGCCATTTATTATTGCAATGTACAGGGAGTAAAATATCAGATTTTCAGATATTTTAACCAATATTTTCAATCGTATATCTCCTTGCTAAATACACTATGAATACATTGTGACGCGTGATATTTCGCTGCGTTGTCAAATATGGCCGATTGAGACGAAAGAGTGAAAGACTTGCAGTTGAATAGAAGAACCTGACTGGCACAAGCTCTTACAATTGAAAGGAGCAAAATTTGTTTTTACCGTTCTTCATGCCGTATAATATAAAAATTGAGGTTTACCCCTGCTTACTCATTACTTCATCTCGTCTTGAATTCTCACTGCTGTGGAGATTATCTCAGCTTATTCTGTATCAAGATTATGTCAGACAGACTTTCCAGTTTGGTAGCAGCAAGGTTGAAATCATACAGGCGTCATCAATATGCACTGACTGAGTTTCCTGAACTGCTGAAGTCCAATACGCCGGCTGTATCAATGTGGGAACGGCCATAATTGTCAATAGAAAATATGACAAACCACATATCACAAATCTCAATTGGTGATAGGTCTTGACGTATCTTTATGCCCTACTTATAGTTTTGCAGTCCACATTCACTACAGACCCAGCAATCTGTCTTATTGAGGGGGCAGAGAGGCTTGTTGCGGCCACGAGGTCCCACTCCATCCTCATCTATCAACTTACCCCCCTCTCCCTACTCCCTCACAGAATATTTACCACCCCACCAAAGCCAATATGAGATCAATCAAGTCATTTTCCTCACCATCTCGCAAGCATAACCCCTTTTGTCCACTACCCCCGTTTCCTCATCAATCTAAATGTCACTATAAAAATGTTTTTAATATTTTATTTTATTATATCCGAATGTATGAAGAATTTTCTCAGCAAAATTTCCTTCCAAATTGTATACATTTCTTACAATTTCTCCTATAAATGCCAGTTATTGCTTCAAAGAAGGGACACTCTCGGAGCCAGCCCAAACCTGATTGGAGACTCGACTGAATATTACCAATCAAGAGCGCATATATATTTAGACACAGACAGACTCCGTGGTTTTAGTCCGCAAGCGAACTATACCGACAGAGCGACCGCCGCTTGTCGGCGAAGTTAGTGCCAACTTTAGCGGATAGAGGGCATCGCGTGGTCAGCGCAACGAGTCCCCACGGCAGTTAATTTCGGTTTTTCTAGACCGAAGCCGCTATTTCCTTGAAATAGCTCCTCATTTATCATCACGATTCTGACTGGACCCCGTTCAAGACCCACTACTTCTCACAACCTTTGGTAGCGCCGGGAATCGAACCTGAGCCTCTAGTGAATATAAAATTACAGACTTTTATTAATCTGTAGTAACGTTTGTGAAATAGAAGCCAAAAGGAACTGAAATACTTGGAGTCATGTAGTATTCTCAGCACTTCTAACAACACGTAAGAAAATACTTCTAGTATAAAATGAATGAATGAACTTAAATTTTCTAAATTAATAGACAGGTCGGTACTTAGCGTTTTACTGACGCTGACTATTTTTCGTAAGATCGGGAATAACCGTCTACGTTATATTAAATAAAGGTTTTATATAATGTTCTTCTTTGTGCTGTAATAAAATATTTTGATGACTTTCATATGACAAAACAGCAATCATTGCAACAGATTCAGAGAATTATGTTCTCACAGCGGTGGTTATGAAGAGTACTGCATTCTGGGATATACCATCGTGTAGTCTGCTTTCATAATGAGGAGGTTTATAACTTGTACTCTTCCCCAAGTATAATTAGAATGCTCAAGTCAATGACGATGAGGTGGGCATGTTGTACGAATGGGGGAGACGAGGAATGCATATAGGATATTGGTGGGAAAGCCAGGAGGAAAGAGACCACTGGGATGACCAAGGCGTAGGTAGGTGACCAATATTAAAATGGAACTTAGATAGAATGGGATTGCATGGATTGGATTGAGGTGGCTCAGGATAGGGACCAGTGGAAGGCTCTTGTAAATACTGTAGTGAACCTTCGGGTTCTATAAAATGCTGGGAAATTCTTGAGTATCTGTAAGATTTGGCGGTTCCTCTAGAAGGGCTCAGCTCCATGAGTAGGTAAATAAGTATTCTCCTTTCATGCTGGTATCTTGCTCGTATTATTCTTCGGCCTGAAGGTGAAGGCGATATTGTCCCCGAAACTTTGGTTGACTTTCATTCCATCAAATTCTCCGTCATCATAATCACCCGGGGCAGGCTACAAGAGGCCAATGAGTGGCAGCCGTGTCGAGTGGACCCAGTTGGACACTACCCTCCACTAGCGAATTATATCCCAGAAGATAGTACTCCTCAGATTCAGAGACTTTTCATCAAATGAAGAAAGGAAATGTATTTAAAATGGTTAAGATACGAAAGAAGTTTCCGAAAAATAGTTTACTCATAAGATATCAGTTTATTGAGAAACCCGTTAGTAACTGCACATCAGCTGACATTATACGAAGTTTATGCGTTGGAGAATGATAATATGTACTTCTTATAGAAAGCATCAGTTTAAAAAATTGCAGGACGAAGAAAATTGTATTCCGAAGTATCTCTTGTTGAACAAGACAAAGGAATATTGTAAAATAAACAGACAACTGATAAGTATTATCTAGACATTCATCATAATATAAATGTAAAATTAAATCATAACAAATTTCATTAAGGTTGGAGCACAAGGTGAAAGTAAAAAAAGTAAAGCCATCCCTGTAACAGGCCGTGGAGGCCCTTAGAGTTGTGAGAAGTTGAGGGTCCCACATTATCTAGACAATCGGCTCAAAGATGGCGGTAAGGTTGTCAGCCCTACGCTCCGGCCGCGCTTTACTCCCCAGGAAAATTATTTAATTACTTCATGGTACTCATTTCTGTAGAGGCTGAGTCGACCCCAGGGCCATAGTGCGGCTGGAAGGATTGGGAGGCCGTTATAAAGGAAGTATCTGTTATCGCTTGCAAAACGTTACAAGAAATGACTTTCGAATTAATAATCGCCTTTCATTAGGAGACACATCTATAATCTGACTGATCGACATCAAGAGAGTGGCATCTCTTCGCTTTTCGTATCTTAATGTGTTAATCACAAGAACATATTCTGTATAAGATGTATTGTTTCG